AGAGTGCAAAGATCATAATCCCTAATTCTAGCAGACACAGAAGATGAATTACAGTGCACCAATAATTGCCTTTAAAAACAGTTAGAGATATGTAACAGGAAGCCCACCTGGTCTTGGAGTTTTTCCAGAATATAATAACCAGATTTGTTTTTTGTGCTAAAGTGAGAGCCCATCCGCCCTTCAAAAAAAAGCGAGTGATTAAGACATAGCTCTTGCAACAGCCCTAAGAATTATAATGAAATAGAGACTAACAAATTAAGGAAGCGGAGTCAGTGCCCAATCCAAAGTACAGGAACAGGAAGTCTTGCTAGCCAATAAACTCTTATGCTCTCCTTTTCTCCCCCTTAAGTTCCCCACCACAATTTGCAACATTGCTGACGTCTCAACAAAAGCACCAAAGATTAAACAGACGTTAAAACTGAACTATCATGCCTCTTCAAAGGGAAGTAAACTCATCTTGGTGGGACAATGTGGGGAAGTTTGCACCACTGTTGCCACCAGTCTTGTTCTCTGTATACAAAGGATGCATTAGTCTTCACTGCTATTAAGGTGGTAGCTTTCACAGGCACTACATTAAAATTGGAGGACAGGGCTTCGAGGTGGAAAAGGAGAATTATCAAATAGCCTCAAATTGACCTCCATTTGTTCATTAGTTTAAGAATCCCTGCACTGTATATATAGCCCATGGTTAGTAAAACAAAGCCAAAACATTTGTATACTTTGTGACATGTGCCTTCTTTAAGCAGGTATTCTTATCAGCAAGTACTCAGATGAAGTAACTCTAGACCTTGCCTGACCAACCTAGCTTTTTCTCCATTAGGAGAGATTTGATGAATTGTGGCCATTTTGTATGCCAAAATATGACATATTATTGGTTGATAAAGCCCCTTGCTTGAAAATCTGGAGCTTATTACCATGTTTTAGATCCCAGAACTTTCCATATGATTTTCATAGTAAGGAAGCAAAGAATACAAAACTTGAGTAAGGAGGAATTCGTAGTATGCTGTAATAAAAGTCACTGTGAACTTGTATAGAATCTTCCATGCAAGGATCTCAAGACATTAGCCTCCTCATCTATGCATATCATTGCTCCTAATTAACAGATAAGAAACTAAGGCACAGAGAGGTTAAGTAATTTCCCAAAGTCACACAGGAAGATTGTGTCAGAGTTGGAAACAGGATTGTGTCTTAACTCTTAATCCTGTGCTGGAAGTAGAAACCTTCACTGTTCATATACTTCTATAATCATTTAACAGGTTTATTATAACAGTGCCTAAGGAACAGCTAAGAAAGATGCCCCCATTGTGTACAGTATTGTACAAACACGACAATGGCCCCTGCCCTGAAGAGCATATAATCTAAATAGACATGGCAGACATAGGATGGATCAAGGGAGTTTGACATATAGTTTGATTGAACAGAATGATGGAAGTTAAACTAGCTACATGAGCTATATAGTCACCCTTTATGTGTTTCCAAAAAAAGTCATAAGGGATGATGCTTATATATAGTGCAACCCAGCTGACTGAACTCTGGTGTAAGGAAGCTTAGTTGTGTTTTCTTCAGCTGTATTTAACCTTCATGTCAATTGTAATTAAGGGACTACATTCCAATTAGCATGAACCCTTGAAAACTAGCCAACACTCACTGAAGCAATGGCAGGGCAGGGGAACCCCAAAACACAGCCTTTTGAATACTAGCTCAGTCTCCCATGAATCTAAAGCAAGAGTGACCAAACTTATTTTTTTACAGTTAAAGCATGCCAACCGCTCCCCCTCCCTTCTCCATCTACCGGACCAGGCAGGTGGAGAGGAAACTTGGTGCTTTTACCTGTGGTGGAGTGATGGGGCTAGAGGCTTCTGCTAGAGACAACTGGTGCCGCCTGGGAGTTGGAAAGCAAACTGTTTAAAGGTTTAGCCACCCCAACAACTTGAGCCACATTCCCCCCCAAATGTGGAGAGGCAGCAGCAAACAGCTAAGAACTGCAGGGAAGGGCTGCTGCTTTAGCTCCAGGGAAGAGGTAGCAACAATAGCAGCAGCTTTTCCTGCAGCTCCCAGCTGTTTGCTGCTCTCTCTGCTCAGGGCTGTAGCTCCCAGCTTGCAAACTCCAGCAGCTGGCTTCCAGGGAGGAGGACCGATGGCACCATGTGACTGAATGGGGCTACTATGTTGTCTCTGGTTTCCACCCAGCTGGGAAGGGTACCCTGGAAAGCTGAAGCCTTGAGCTCTGGCAGGTGCACCCATGATCTTGGGCTTCTGAAAACTGCCATTGTGGATCAGACAGTCAATCAGTTTTGCCACCCCTGATTTTTAATCAGCAAGTACTCAGCTGATTCTCATGTCTAAAGCCTCATTTATGTGAACCTTTCAATTGTCCAAACCTTGGAATCACACAGGATTGTACTGCAGATGTGCAAACCAAAGCTTACCATTTTAAAAGTAGTAATGGAGAAGTAGATGTTTCAAGGAGAACAGCTATAGTCACGTGACCATGACCCCTCAGAAGAATGGCTGTTTCTTTAGGAGGGTATATTCTATTCCACTTGCTTTTGCTTATATAAGAGTTGTTACTTCATTACACCACTACAAAGTAAGTCAAGGATATGACTACAATGTCTTAAGTAGCATCTAATGAGACTACACCATGTCAAGTGATACATGTAAAGACACCCTGTAATTTAACTGCTTTTCTTCTGATGTTTTCATTTTAGGCCTTTTCTCAGGGCATGTCTTCTTGTATCAGGTTTATTAAATAGTTTTCATTTAGGGATTGCTCTAAGCAGATTATACACTGTATTGTGATTGTGAGAGAGCCAGCACCTTAAAAGTTAAGGGAGGAAATTCCCCTCCATATCCTGAGAACACATGGATAGAGATGTTCTTATTTTAGAACTGCCCCAATGTGTTATTTTCTCAATCCTTCTGGCAACTTCTAACATCTGTCAATTTTACAATCAACCGACTTTCTGGTGAAATTCCTGAAACATCAGTAACAACATCTGACGAAGTGGGTCTCTGCCCATGAAAGCTTATGTCCCTATAAATCTGTTAGTCTATAAGGGTACGTCTAGACTACAAGCTTTTGTCGACAGAAGTTTTGTTGACAGATACTGTCGACAAAGAGCGTCTAGACTACATCCAGTTCTGTTGACATGACAGTGTAGACGCAAAGGACAGTGTAGATGCAATAACGCCTTCTGTCGACAGAACTCAGCAGCAGTGTAGACGCAGGTATAGTTTTGTCAACAAAAGTCTACTTTTGTCGACAAAACCCTGTAGTCTAGACACACCCTAAGGTTCCACAGAACTCCTCGTTGCTTCAGCAATAAATATCTGAGCTTTTCTCAATGTGTTTACATGTGCCCAATCTTAAGAAATGTTAAACTAAAAACCCAGTTTACCAGTATTACTGGTATAAGGAAAGATAATGAGAGGGTAAATAAAGGGAATTGTAAATACTACTAGAGCTCCCAAACGATGAACATATGAGCATTTAACAGCTATACTAACAATGCTTATTTCAAAGCTACTTGATTAAAGCTAACAAATCAAACACAAACATACTGTCCTCTGCGGAAGGAACTTGTCCAGCTTGGCTAAAGATGACATTGGCAGCTGCTAAACAGTGTCGAGACTCCATAAAGCATTGCTGTGGGGGAGAGAAACAGCAATGTTCAATCAAAGGTATGAAAAAACTAATGAGCTGCTATTTTTTACTTAAATAAGTTCCTAAGTTGTATAGTTAGGACACGTAAAAATGGGGAAATTGCAGAACTGAGGTTCCATGGGGAATTTTCCTTTAGACACTAGAAAATATAGACATAATACTGTAAAACTGGAGAGGAAAGATGACTTTTTATATCTACTATGGAATATAGCACCCTCCTACCATGTACCCCATCTCAACCAACAACTCCCACAAAGGCAGTCGCTGCCTTTTATAGCAGGACTGAATCACCAAATATTATACATTCTTTCCATGCTACGCTTATACTAATGTCACTTCCTGAGGTCTGTGGTAAACATGGTATTATACGGCGTAATACAACTCTGAGCTGCACATCAACTGACTATACTTTGAGTCAGATTCAGATTCCTTTACTCACACACTGAGTAAAATTGATGGAATTAACCATCAAGTACATCTCCTCAAAAAGGTACAGGAATGACGAGTTACTACTGAAGCTTTATTTTTCATTGAGTGGTATTGCAGAAGTTTCCAAAGCTCCAAACTCTTTTAGAGAACACGAGAATTTGAGTTGTCTTTAGTAAGAAAGGTCTCATATATATATACAAAAAAAGACGTACTTCACAAAGCAGTGAGTTGTTTGGCTGTAGAGACGTGAAGTCAACACGGCACCCATTATATGATTTGTTCTGGTGGGTACTCACATAACCAATACATTTTATGCACGTGCTAAAATATTCAAGAACAATTACTTAAAGTATGCAGCATAAGACTTAATCCTGAATGTATCTGCTTTGGCTGAATAAGTAATAGTAGTAGGTAATTTAAAAGTTATTTTCCTTTATGATTCACCTTTTAAAAAAAGCTGACAAGTACCACATCACACACCACCATCGTTATTATTTGCACTGTGCCCACTGCACTTGAATTTAACCTCTCTGCTCACTTTAACTGTTGGCAACATGCTACCCTGGGAAGGGCAACCACTGCACTTCCCTAAGACAGATGTTTGACATCTGAGGACTGTTTATGTGCTTAAAGGAGGACATTTTAAAATTTAGTTGGCACCATGTCTCAAAGAACTACTGAAATGGCAACTTTGTAATTATTTTATGACTGGAGATTAATAAGTCATAACCATAGCAGAGCACATTTAAATGGTTACCTTAGTGAGATAATATTGTGACAAAGTAGCAGCATTCAGAGCCCATTCTACTGGATAGTAGCCACTGTACTCAAGCTGTCGTTTAAGGGTAGTATGGCAATACTGGGCAGCCTTCTCAATCATTTCCAGGTGTTGGTATACTTGGGCCAGATAATATAATGTATGGGTATAGGCTTTTTCAAACCTGGGAAGACAATTTGATTCTTGCTTTAGATTTATTTATTTTTAAAAACGTCCATCACACACTTACATTTTAAACATATGTGCTATAAGGCACCCACCTTTTTGATCTCTCTTGATCTGCAAGTGTTTCTTCTTCAGCCATGAAATGTTCATTAGGATCAAGGGGAGGGTTCCCATTCTGCAACAGAATCAGCAGTATGTGATAATCCAATACACAGCCTGCAATTTAAGAGTAGTTGATGATAGTGCTCCCTCTGTTGGCTGCAGTGTGAAGCTCACAATGCAAGACCAGAAAGACCTATGTGCATTTTCAGGTTTTTCTATTCCAAATTCAACAACAGATGTTGATTTGCCATAGAACTTCTGAATATATCCCGTAATGTGATTTCCTGAAGTCCATAAAAAGTTTTTTGAAGAAAAAAACCCAGCATGCCTCACTTTGTCTACTACATTATAAAATGACTTTTCTTGAATACAACTACCATGTATATTTTTTAAAATATTATATTGCCCTCCAACTAATTTATCCTGGATTCAGATTTAATGTATACAAACATCAAAGAAAGAATGAATTTATGAAGATACACTACTAGCACCTACAAAGTATCTTTCACTTAATTTCCTACAGTATTTTATAAGCATAGAAAATACCCACCATGAGGCCTGATCCAGCTTGCACTGATGTGCACGAGTAGCTTTAATCATGAACAGTCCCACAGTGAACTACTTTGTGAGAAGTAAAATCACTCGTGTGAAAGCATAACAATATCCCTGGAGAGAGTATGGGTTCAGTCTCCCATGATGAATCAATTTCAGTTTATTAGGTTCAATAGA